ATTCAGGTGACCATTAACATGAAAAAATATTTAAATTCATCAGTGAGCAAATGAATGCAGATTAAAACAAAGTTCCTTTTTAATCACTTATCAGAGTTGGGAATTTTAAGAAAGGGAGATGTTGTGGGGCCAAAAGGGTATATCTGCTGTGGGGAAGAAAGCGTTCATATACTGTTGAGGTCAGTATAATTAGTACAGACTTTGAAAGATAACTTGTTAAAATGTTTTAAAAGCTTGAAAAATATTTCTACCCTTTGATCCAACAATTCCACCTTTAGAAATATGTCCTAGGGAGATGATTAGAGATGTGCACAAAATTTGCATCCAAGAAAGTTCATTACACTGCTTTGCTGTTCTGAAAAATCAGAAGCAACTGGTATGTTCCAAGTTAGAGGGTTATTAAAAATAAGTTATGGTGCATCCAAATAGTGACAATTAAAGTCGTGGTTTTTTTTAAGTGTCAACTGAAATAAAATGTACAACCTAAAAGTTGAAAGTTATGTTTTATGCATCGGACTTCCTGAGGACTTGAGCCTGGGACACAGCCTCTCAGACCGCTCTAACAGACTGTTCCACACAGGCAAGGGAGAAGCCAGGATATATATACGAATTTTTGCAACAAAAACCAGATAGTCAGAACATAACAGATTACTGTTAATTTAAAAAAAACAGAGTCTCAAGTTAAGGAATTTAGTGCTTTTCTATGTATGGGAAGGTACAAAGGTCTGGGCTCACTAAAATCATTCCTTTGATGTGCACCTAGCTGTCTAGGGCCAGTGTCCTGTCCTTTCCATCCTGAGTTCTCTCAAGGGACACCACTGTGGGCGGCTGCAGAGGCCAGGCTGTCTGCTTGTCTGCATCCTGAGTTCCCTCCACTCACTGTAGTGGGTGGTGAAGGTAATGGCTGATAACTTGATGGCCGCAGAATTCTTTGTTTACTTATATGGCTGGCAATATTTTTCATTCACAAAAGTATATGCTGATGGGGAGGGGGAGGGTATAGCTCAAGTGGTAGAGCACATGCTTAGCATGCACGAGGTCCTAGGTTCAATCCCCGGTACCTCCTCTAAAAATAAACACATAAACTTAATTACTGCCCCCCAAAACACACACACAC